GGGGGAATATGAATCCTGATACCACAAATATTTCTGGTGTGAATTTTTAGGTTCATTGCTGTTTGTAGAAAAAGTCTGCTGCGGTTTCTAAAGGGAGCACTGATACCATGAGACAACTCTGACTTTCTGCCATTTGCTAACAAGTTGTTCAACTGCCTTTACTTATTATCAGTTGTGGTGTGGGGAGATTCCTTTTCTTTTTCTTACTATTAAATCAAGGCATTTTTTAAGAAATATTTTATTTTTGATACAGACACAGCCGGTGAAGTAGCAGTAAAAAACATCACCACAAAGAGGCACATGGCTTTGAAATGTTTTGGTATGTAACATTAACTGCATTGTTATCAGGTCTTAACTTTTGCACAAAGAATATTTCTCCTTGTTCTGAAAGCAAACCCTCTGTCAGCTTTCAAAGGGTTACGTACATAACGTGGTCATAGGGGAGCAAAACAAAAAAATATCTAAGCGTCTCGAATCATTTCACAAATAACATTGTTCTATTTCTCTCCTTAAACGAACAAGAGTTTCTTTGATTTTTTTTATTTAAGTCAAATTTAGGATTCTGCTGTTCAGAGCAGAGAGGTCACAAGGCCCTAATGTATTTAGCATTGACTGCCCTCTCTTGTAGTGCGTCTATTAGTCAGTAATTTGATTTGTACCTATTCATTTGCAGTCCCTGCAGGAGCTCTGAGCTGGCCCCAAGTATAATTGGTGCTGTCTCTATTTTTACATCATTAGATTAGCCCCGACTCCTGGCCACTTGTTGTCTGCGCTTGTCTGTCCATTTATACAACCTAATGTAACACAAAATTCATTACTGATCACATTACTTTCAACTCTGAAGCCAGCTTTGTGATAAACATTTTGTTAACCCTTTCTTGCCAGCACACAGACCTGGGGGATAAATGCACTTTCCCTTTGCAGAAAAATCAATATCATAATAAAACAAAGTGCAGTCACATTTCTAGATTTGTCATTTCTCCTGGAGAAAGAAATGGGGAGAAACATATATGAGATGACTAAATGATGTCTGCATCCAGGCATCTCGCGCTGCTGTATATGAAATGAGCTCAGCGGTGTCCTTTCTACTAGAATATAAAGAAGTGACACAAGATAGGGCCAGCACTCAATTTAAAACTTAATTTCTTACTCATTGTTCTGCAAGTGTTTTAGCTCTTCTGTGCAGGCTGTAATCAGGTTATGACATTATTGGCACTAAACATTTTTCTTCCAGTGCTTTGTCTCAAAGTAGTTAACAGAGAAACAATTCCCTTTCTCCTTAGAGATTTGTTATTACATTGGGTTTTGGTTTGGTTTGCTTTGGTTTGTGGTTTTTCTTCCTAATGATTAAGCAAATTAATTTTCCTACTGCAATACTCCGGTATTTCACAGGAAAATGTAAAGCTTCATTCTGTCTAGCTTGGCTTTGCTCACATTTGACTGTTCTGCTGAGTACCTCCTACAGCATTAAGCTTTTTGCATCACTGAGGCTTCTGCTATTGATTTCAAGGGCAACAAGAGGAGAGCCACGGTAGGTATTCGTTTAGGCCTGATTCTGCAAAGGGCTGAGCATCCTCACAGCTCTGTTTGCAGCATCATGCCTATGAGGTGATGCTTGTTACTCAAAGAAATATATTTTGGTGCATGCAAAAGCTGTTGATTTTTAAGTTTTCTAAATTAATTTTCTGTTTGTACAGCTTGGCTTGGAAATCTGTTATTTTGGGTTTTCTAAATATTTAGAAACGTTTCTCAGTGTTTATTAAATCTTCCCTTTAAAAGTCCCCTTCTGAAGCCTGCCCCACACTGAGCGGTCCCACACTGAGCAGGGTGCAGGAGACGAGGAGGCTACGGGATTTTTCCATCTCTAGTTTCTGTAATTACCTTGTTGTTCCTTTTAGGAGTCTTTGCATGGTATTTTGATGTAGGTTACAACTTATGGCAAGCGTATCTTTCTTAGTAAGTATAAGAACCCTCATGCCCCAGCATTTGTATCAGGACTGGTATTTTTACAGCTGTTTTGTGAGCCAAAACTTGTTGCAGCTGCTGAGGTGGTGGCAGAATAAAGACAAGACAGTTCCTCTCCCTCCTCCCAAGCCTGGCAGCCCTAGAGAGCCTTTTGGTATTTTGCTGGTATTTTTTGCGATTTTAGGTGTGTGCAGCCTTGGCTGGTGCTTGCTCCTAAAGCCTGGCTTGGCTGGGCGAAGGTGTGAGTCTCCGCTCAGCTCTGCTCCTGCCTTTGTGCTTCTCGATCTCTGCTCCAGCTTTGCCATGGGAAGCCAGTGCACCCTAAAATCCCCATACAGCCTTACGTGACTCCTGCGACCCTCACGTTACGGATGAGCCGCAGGCCGTGCCGTGCGCTCGGTGGCGGAGGGTGTGTGGCCAGCCGGGCTGCGTGCCGCCACCCCGCTCCCACCCTGGGGTCCCGCTGTTGGGGATTGCTAGGCTGACGCTGCTCCCGTTTCTGCTTGCTGCAGATCTCCAGCGCATCTTGTGTTAACTCTTTGAAAGTTTGAACCTTTCATTATCTTAAAATGATGTGCGGCCAATTTGCCGGCTCCCCTTCCTGCCCATGCAGAGCATTAACATCACGCTGATGCCGAGGGCATCTAGCGTTCCCTGGATTGCGAAAGGACGATGGCCCGCGCCATTGCAAAGCTCTCATAAACTGGGCTTTGCCCTCAGCAGGGGAGACGGGAGAGGAGGCTGTAGAATGGAAACCCATTTATGCAATAAATTGTTAAGCAGTCGAACTGTTAAATGAACGCTTCTTATTAGAGAGATACGGTGAAGTATGAGTCACCAAACAGCAAAATATGCATTAACACAGCAAAAACTCCAGCAATAAATGGAAGGTCAAAAGCTAAAACAATTAAAATGTTCCAGTGTGAGCCAACCCTCTGGCCCTGCAGCTTTCAGTCCTCTCAGCTGCCAGAGGCCCCTCTTCCACCACGGGATCTGCTCCTCACGCTCCAGCATCAGGAGGCACAAGGCCTTCGATGGACTCCCAAAGTGCCACCTCCGCCACCTCCAAGGGCCTTCTCCCACCCGTTCGGATGCCGTATCATTTCCTATCGTTGAACTGTAGTCTGCAGCCCTCCCATCACCTCTCGTCACCCCCACACGTCTCTCTAACAGAATATCAGACAAATAGTAACCTGATTTTTCTGATAATCTAGCCTTGCTATCCAAGGATATCAGGGCTTGGGGCTATGTCCTTGCTTAAGAGCGACGTTGTTAGCCATCTGATGCTCGTAGCGTGTCCAGTGGAGCTGGCCAGGCAGGAAGAGGGGAGAGGGGAGAGAGGGCAGGGGAAAAGGAGTTAAAAAAACCTGAAGGGGATTTTGGCTGGGGAGGATCTCCCTGGTCGATGGGGAGGGAGATTCCCTGGAGCGTGTCCCGTGGGACCAGATGTGGTGGCTGCCCCAGGAGGAAGCAGTGCTGTGGACAGGTCCCCGGCAGTGCCGGGAACAGTTCGTTCTCCTTGAGGTATATATCGTCATTTGCAGTATGGAAAAATTAGCTTTCCTTCCATGCCTAGCCTGCTGTCTCCCTACCATGGATAATATATAAAACAGTAGACTTTTATTCATTAACATTTATGGGAAAATGTTAATATTAAACTGTAAGTGAAAAGCCCTATCTTATTGAATTCTTCTGCTGTGTTATTGGGAGCCTAATTACATTTTGCATTTAAATAAAAACCAGATGACGTTCAGGACGGTCAGGCAAGCATTCTGTAAGTGAGAATTTATCTTGCGATCTGAGTAAACAATGTCTCATCATTTAACAGTTATTATAAATAATGGGTTTTTAAGCACTTTGCAGGGAGTTCATATTGGCTCCACACGGGTTACACTAAGGGAGAGAGAATTTCAGTGACATCTTCCAGGCATCCGGTGAGGAGGAATCATATCCTGAGCTCACTTCTCAAGCTGCAGCAGTTTTCATCCTCCTCTGTGTATTACTGCTCACTGTTGTGTGCCCAATCGGCCGACAAAAAAACTAAGAGTAAGAAAAATGATGGATGGGTTGGAAGCGTTTTGCAAATGGAGAAACCATCTATGCTGCTGCCCCAGCAGAAGTGGAAGGTGTTCAGGACCCCTGCAGAGGTTCGCGCGAGTGCTTGAAACCTCCAAAGGCGTATTCTTTCTGTAAAAGTGCTGCTGTGTACAAGTTGTGCGTTCACAGAGAATGAAAAAGATGTTGAGGCAAAACGTAAAGACAGAAAGGTAGTGGACCAGCTGCTTTTTTCTGTGTTTCTGCTGGTACCCTCTTAAATTACATCACTGGTAATTACGTGCTTGGTAATGCATCAGCTAATTTAGAAAAAGAGTAAAACTTCTAAAAAATGTAAATAGCTTTTGCCCCACTTCTGGTGTTTATATTCTGCATTTCGTTCCTGTCACTTCGGACAGGTGGCCGTGCTTTTGTTGTTAGCTGGCTTTTAGTCCGTGTTCCTCAGGCATTAGCGAGAGCCTCTGAGATTTCTCCGAGGCATCTCCCGTCACAGGCAGGGAGCAGCTTCCCCGCAGTCTGTCCCGCATCCTGGCGAGGAAGGAATTCGTTTTCCATGCAGACAGAAATAGGTGGTAAGGAGATTAATTTTTTAAGCAACCATTTGCTGCTGTGAAAAGACACAGAATTTGGGAGTGCCTGCTGCTGGCTGGCGGCGTGTCACCTCCTGACACGCCACCCACCCTGTAACATGGCTGTTCCAGGACATAAACTGTTTACTGCTGTTTTCTTCGCAAGGCATTTTGTCCCATTTTCCAAGAAGACCCCTGCAGCTAAAATACCATCTTTTTTTTATTTGGGGTATTTATTTGTTATTTCCTTGGTCAGTGACTTTCTCAGTATCTGCCCAACACATGAACTCTGTGTTTACATCAAAAGCCGATGGTGTTGTGAAAGACAAAGGGTCAGTATCACTTCTCCGACTGTTTCCAAAGATGTTTTTCTGGGAAGGCCGCAGGCAGGAAGGTGCCAGCAGGGTCAGCAGCCGGGACCTGCCCCGTTCCCTCCGCTCCGGCTCGGTGGCACGGCGTGGCAGCGAGGAGCCGTGGGTGGCTGGAGATGGCGAGCACACACAGAACCCTGGTCGAGGTGAGCGGGATGGAAATGGTGGCAGCTCCCTAACCAGATACAGAGAGCAGCCTGCCGGGGGACCCAGAAGCAATGCCATGCGGTGTGCTGCAGAGCGATGCTCGGACATGTTGCTGTGCTGGTCTTCTCCAAAGGCAGAGCACAGCATTGCCGTGGATGGCATCTCCCATTTGTTCCCCCATGCCACGCTGAGCAGCTCTTCCCATTGGGCACTCCATCGCTGAGGCCAGGTTGTCAGGTGGAAATGACGTTTGGAGGCATTAATCAAAAGGCAAATTAACCCAGCAGCCTTCTTCCCTCATCTGCAGCCATGGAGGCAGCAGTGAGGAAGTGAATTACACAGGGACAGGTCCCTAACCTGAAATCTGGGCGTGCTCTTTTGCCTTCACTCAGGGCTACTTTTATCCACACTCTTTAAAAAAAAATCTTCAGATTATATCGTTCCAGGATTGTTTTGTCTCTTCAGTTTATCTTTTGGGAACATGGCTGGTCACCCATCAAAATGTGAGGAAAAAGTCTGCAAAAGAGCACAACATGAAGAGCAGGTGGTTATATTAACTTCACTGCCAGATGCCCAAGTACAAGGCAGAATCTGCACAGCTTGAGATGATTTAAATTGCCTTTTATGTGGGATGTGGCCAGAAGAATGCCTTGGTTTGCCATTAGGTCTTTTAGATTTCACACAAGTTATCCTCCGCCACGCGCTCGTCCACAGGCTGCAGCTCATTCACACGTTTGACAGTGCTTGTAAGAGTGTAACTGAAAAGGCAAACTATATTAGAATCAATACTTGGAACAATTTTTAAAATATGACTTTTAAAAAGTGAAAACATTGAATTTACTTTTTTTTCAGCTGCCTTCTGGTTTTACGAGAACAAATGCAAACTGCTGTGTTGAACAGCTCCATTAACAAAGGGCCGAATTAAGCTTTGGATGTCATTTTTATCAAGGCTCTTTCATATTTATGTCTAACATCAGAATTTGGAGCTATATAAATAAGACAGAGTGTATTAAGAGCCTCAAGCAATCCTGCAAGAGAGGGAGCGCACAAGGTTGGCCTGTTGTTTTTCCAGGCTCAGTTAATACTCAATCTAGGTAGAGACGTGATTTTAAGAGTACTACTGCAAGCTTTGAGTGCTTCGTAAAATTAGGTCTGTGTTTAGAAAATTGGTCTGCTTGAAGCAGCGATGTCAGTGTAATCTTTAAAATAATTGACTAAATAGACCAAGTAAGTTGCATTTGGAACTAGGATTACTTGGATGGGTTTGAAGTTTCTCAGCGACACTAAAACTAGCACCGGGGAAATGAAAGGAGGAGACCTCTGCTCCTTAGATCTCCACCTGAGCTTTTCTGACTCAAGAGCCTTGAACTGTTTAGATGAGCAGACAAGGCTGAGTCCACGGTGACATCATTTTGTGAGCTTCAACAAAACTCTTCTGATTTGGACCAGCTGAGCATCTGCTCCCCCCAAACTTTTAACTTTTCCTTTGAATCAAACCCAAATTCCAGTCCGGGCAACTTCCTCTTCAGCATCAATCTGCACCGGGGAGACAGCCCAGAGCCTCTCAGTAGCTTTCCTCGCTGGCCCAAAAGGCCACTTTGTGTCAGAAGTACTAGAAGTTGTGCCAGAATTACTTTGCTTTGTAATATTATACTTTTAAAATGAACTCGGCAAGACGTTTGTGTCAGAAGCACATAGTGCACATATGCAAGATGCACACAGAGGCACGCTTCGAGCACAGAAGTTGCCCTCCTCGGGGGTTACCGTCTCTTCCTAACTGAGGGTTATTAAGGAGGCCCAATAACCGAGGTAGCATCACGAGAGGGGAAGAAAATTAGGTTTTAGAAGCTGCTGAAGTTTGGAGGGTCAGGCGTGTCTGAAATCCCCTGTTCAGCGTATCTGCGAGGGGCTGCCCACACCCTGAGGTAATCACCAAGTTTGTGGGCTTGACCTTCAGGCAGCTTTTCCTTACTTAGCTTTTTTACTGGGACTGTTCGGCCGAGCCCGGGAGAGGAGGAGGGACCCCCAGCACTCCCCAAGTGCTCCTGGTCATCGCGCTCCTGCGCGGTGGCTTTGCTGCAGCCACTCTTGAGATGAGGACCCCCCTGCCCCAAGATCTCGAGTGGCTCCAGCTCTGGTGGGAAGGGGGATGCTTAGATCCATGCTTTGGGTCCAGACCTGCCCTGGATAGTAGCGTGGTGGTTCCAGGAATAGGAGCATCGCCTCCGCCTCCAAAACTTGTCAGCAAGATCCAAAGAGTCCGGAGGGTGTAGGACACGGAGCTGGTAGGTGTCGTGAACATGCAGATTACAATAAATTTGTATTTTCCTTCATGGAGTCGGAGGCTGACGGAGGGGTCACTGTTGAGCAATCCGAGGCACTCCCATAACCCTGGGAATGAGAGACCAAACCCAGGAATTTTAATACAGTGTTTTCTCTGCAAATGCTTTTGCTCTGATATACACAGATGTGCTGCTTGCGTAACTGAAGATACAAGATAATTCTGCCTAAATGCGTTAAAAAACTTGTACACACACTGGCTTGCCCAGGAAAGCCTGTATTACATATAAGATACATTATAGGAATTTATAGTAACAACATATTGAAACTTTCAAGATGGGGTGGGAGAGAATTCCTTTAAACCCAAAGAACCGTATCTGCATATTCATTTTAAAAACTCTTCTGGAAATCTTGCACAAGGAGTCGTAGGGTTACAGGATGTGGATGGGCTACAGAAATGGTCTTCTATAAGCATTTGGCTGTTCTAGCTTTTAAAATGTCACATACTGACTAAAATTGGCAACTCATCCTTCTGAAGTGCCATTTATGTAGGAAAACATCCTAAACCTCTTTACAAAAATGTACAGCTCTAGGAAACTTGAGATTATTTTTTAAAAGCACTGGACTCATTGTGAAAGTGCCTATCGTGAAGAATATTCTCCCTCCAAATGCTGGTCCTTTATCTGGTGCACTTTTAACCTTCCATAAAATGCTCGGAGTCAAGTCTGGCAAGATGCCAAAGTCTTGGGTCTCCTACTCCGTGGGCTCGAGTCATATGGAGCTTTTTGGGCTCTCTTTTTAAAAGGAAAAAACAAGCTGTTTGTCTTTTTTTTTTCTTTTTGGTAGACAAAATTCTTTAGAAGTTCATGCATGAAAATGTTTTGTCAATATCTCAACAATCTCTTCAGGCCTGAAGTAAACCCAGACATTTATGTAAGTTCAGATGTCCTCCCCATTTCCTAAGTGTTAGTTATTTGGCATCTTCGCATTGAAATAAGGCACTAGAAATGAAATTTGCAGTCTCGGAGGGGCTCTGATGTTCAGAAGGCTCAGTCTTCATTCCCCTGGTTATCTCCTGCCTCCTGTACCTCCTCATCTCCTTGCTAGATCCTGCCACCTTTTTTCCAACATGCCAGGTTTCATCTCCAAGTGCATGGCATTAACGAACTCTATGTGGATTCAGCGTTAGAGTAATTGTAAGGTAGTTTGACAGTAACTAATATTTTACATAGGCCACTGAATTCTGATTTCAGAGAAGTTGTTCAGGTAGCGTTTGCCAGTCTTTTTTACTTTGCAAATTTAATGTAGGTGCTTTTGTGGTGTCTCAACATCTTTCAGGTTGCAGCAGGATGAAATGGTTTTAATATGGGAATTGATTTTCAGTGTTCAAATGCGACAGTGTTACATTTCCTCTTTCGAATGGAGTTTAAAGTCTCTTTTTTCAAACTGCTGGTTTAAAAAAAGGAAAAATAAACATTTCTTAGGAGCAGGTATCTCTCTGCCACGCAAAGCATCGCAGGAGATCAGTGCCCACAGCTGCCCACACCGGTTGCCAGCGCGCAGGGGAACTGGCTCGGGGGAATGGCTGCTGCAGGAGCAGGGTGCGGGGCTTGGGGCAGGGAGCAGGTTTAATTGACTTTTAAACATTATCATAATCATATGAACTTGCAAACGTTATAGTGATATATAAAGCTGGGAACCAACTTTCTGTCCGTGCTCCCTTTGGAAAGGCGCAACGTTAAAAATTTATTTGCCCAGAAATTTCTTTTCAGCCATCCCAAATTAAAAGGAGCTTGGAAAATTAAGAGCTTGAACGAGTACTTGGTGCTTGCGTTTCACTACGATTTAATATTAACGATTTTTGCTTATCCGAATACCCAAAAGCGCAGGTTCCCCCCGGGGGTGCGGT